GTCATTACTAATGGCCGATACATAAACGACAAAATAATAATAAAAAAACCCTGTAGAATGGACTAAAGTTGTAAACAATTGTCGTTCAATTTGGATTGTTGACGTATAATTGATTATATATATATTACAATATATATTTGTTTAAAATGAACAAAATTTATTTATACATTCAAATGTACTTTTAGAACTATTTTCGCCTATTTGAAGGTTTCAAAAAATAGAGCCATAGGAGTAAACGGGGTAAGTTGTGCCACTTGCCACAAAAGCATGCTCTGGCGTCCAAATTATCCAAAATTTGCTGCCGAAATTGCTTTCAATACATAGATTAAGACGTTGTTCATCATTGACAAGCATTATCCAGGCAAATTACTATGCCAGAATAAAAAGGTGGGAACCCTAAAATATTTGGTCAAATAACACAATTTATCCAGAGTGTGGGATAAATTGTTCCATCATGTGGGCTAAGGTGAGCCGAATTATTGAAATAAAATTAAACCATATGTTAGTCTCAAAATGACCTAGTTTGTTTCGAGTGCACATTAAACCCCATTTCTCTCTCTCCCAAGTTCAAGAGAGTATGAATGTTCTGGTTAAAGGACGTCATTTTCAGGTGTTCCACAGTAAATTAACGTAACAAATTTTCAATATTTTCGATTTACATTATCTATTTTTGAGCTATTACAGCAAGAAGGGTCAACTCCACTCGACACAAACTAGGTCATTTCGGGACTAACAATGGTTTTTAATTTTATTTCAATAATTCGCTTGCGCGTAGGGGTCTTTAGCAGTGGGAGGAAACCGGGGGACCCGGAGAAAACCCACGAGATTGGACAGGCGACCCTACTCCTTGTCACGTACAACCGGGGATCCGAAACCACGCCAGTTGACTCAATGACAGGCTTTATGATACAGCGCGCACGTGCTAACCATTCGGCCATTCACCCCCCCCCCCCTCTTCGTGACCATAATAATATAGGATGCGCCAATTATCAAATGTCTTGGATTGATTTATTTCTGTCAGTTGCGAAATACTTTCCCACCTTACTCCATGTGCTTGATCATTTATAGGTGTTGTTTGCGTCCTATGTAAATTAAAAACGGGATTCGTTACTGAGGTTATAATATTATTAAAATATTAGTTATAACTATTGAAATTTGTCGTACAAAATGCTTTGACAGCAGAAATGTCACCGGAAACCAAATGTACATACACCTATTTTCAAGTATAATATTTCCTCATGATGGGGTGTTTACATCGAAACTAGCGCAAGATATTTTACTTGCTAGATATTTTTTCTTAAGCCAAAGTCGTTTGATATTGGTAATGTAACTTTATATGCCCATAAATGACGTCACGTGGATACAATATATTAAGCAAGACATAACCGAAACTTACAAGGATTTAACGTACATTGTAGGCCTACGTTTAAAAAATAAGATCAGATCTCCAAACAATAGGGCCTATTTAAAATGGCGTGGGCCTAATTAATTTCGGGTGAGGGCCTATGTTGATTCCCGTTGGGCCTACCCCCCCCCCCCCCCCTAACATTCATTGTCTATGCGTTTTTAATCGTATCAGACAAGTCTAAAAAATTTTTTTTACAAAATCTTTGGGCCTGAGGCTGCAGCCTCATCAGCCTCACTGATAATCCGCTACTGCAGTAGGCCTACGTGTAAGAAAGACTTAGCTCTCACTCACTCACGGTGGCTGATAAGGGACATGAAAAATGAACACCAATGCAGGGATCGAACACCCGATTGCCAGGTCAACGCTGGCTCGCTAGACTGGGGTCGGGTGTTTGATCCCTGCATTGGCCGAGAAAGTTCATCCAGATTTTCCGGCGTGGTCCCCCTTGTCAGTGATGCAGGACGGAGGGCCTGACAAGGAAAGCTGTCTAGTCGTTCGGATGGAACGAAAAACTGAGGTCCCGTGTACACATTGGCGTGCACGTAAAACACCCCTTGGCAGTTGGAATTTGATATAAGAGTAGGCCGTAGTGCCGCTGTCCGAGCAAAATTTCCCCCATAGCACAATTTATGGCGTATGCTCGTCTTCATTAGCCCAGTTCGGAGCAGAACAGTAGGAGGTTAAACCCCATTTCATTTCATTTCATTTCAAACGTATTCACTCATACGGCATTACCCTTTAAGTTTTTGTTTTAATTTTGAGAAAACTCGTTGATTTATTAATGACCTTTCAACATCATAACACAAGTTCAATCCCGTTTAGACGAAATTCGTGGTCTCCAACGAACATCTTCAAGTTGCGTTCCTGGAGTACTACTTCCAGTGACAAGCGAGTTTATGTACACTCGACACAAACTACAGGTAGGTCATTTCGGGACTAATAATATGGTTTGTTTTTATTTCAATAATTCGCTTGCGTGAATGTGACTTTAGCAGTGGGAGGAAACCGAGTGATCGGGACAAAACTCACGACAGTGACAGACGCGTTAAACCAATTAGATATTATCCCTCCCCCGCCCCTCCGCTTGCGACTCTAGCACCAAACGGTATTCCCCTCCATGCACGCAACCCACTGAAAAAAAATACAGAAATAAAAGCAGAGTGACAAAACATACAAAAAAAGATGAAGACATATTGATCCTGTGTATTTCTTTATTTCTCTATCCTTTATAAAGACAAGAAATACATAATGCTCTAAACCAAAACTTTAACAAATCAATCTATCGGACGGTCATCTTTTATTATATCATCTAACCTCAACTCTCATACATTAATATACCAACCCTAATAAATGTGGCGACCTTTCACTGCAGACAAAAATACAACTGGTTTTGATAGAAAATGTCTCTTTCACATTGAATATTATTTCAGAGAAATATTGAGGAGGATTGGATATTATTAACGTTTTCCCTCCTAAACATGCAATCAATTTATTTCAAGACATTTGGAAGATACAGCTTTAAGATATTTATGAAACGTTTTAATTCCATTGTTATGTATGTTATGCGTTTCTACTATAAGTTCGTCTTTTTCAATCAAAACAATATTATTTACCGGCGTACAATATTGTCTTAAATGATAAAAATGAAATGAAATGGGGGTTAACATCCTATTGTTTTGCTCCGAACTGGGCTAATGAAGACGGAAATGATAAAAACTACCTACAAGAATAGAGGAGCCGCAAAACAACAATATTCGAGGAAATTAAGCAAAAACTAAATGTGTTCGGTGTTAATATATAAATGTATAATATAATGAGGTGTTATAAATAACACTATGTTTATCACACTGATATATTAGAGAAACTATGATAAATATACACCTGGGGTTACTTATTAATATTAAATAGGGAAAATAAAGGAAAATAAAATCAATGATCGAAATATAAACACAAATTCAACGCAAAAGTTTGTAATGCACATTCGTTAAAGTAAAAAAAGTTCTTTGAAACTGAAGGATAGTAACTCTGACTTAAACCGGAAAAAAAAATAGCAATATTATATACATATCAAAATAGTTACTTTGGAACTATCCAGTTTTTCTCCACGGACCAATCCGTTTTCATTTTTTTATCTTCTTACCAATATAACAAAACAAGATTGATTTTATTTAAAGGCAGGTAAGTTGTTAAGAACATAGTGATTTTGTTGTTTTCTTTACTAATGAACACGCTGCATTTCACAAGCAGGTGATAGGTCGCCACATAAAAGAAAAAAAAACGTATATGATTCAAAATAATTAAAAAATTTAAATTAAATTTCATTAAAAATAATTTAGCTGATTAAGGAAATAATGGATTATTGGTATCTTTAATCAACATAAACAATTAATAAAAAGGAAGAATATTTTCATATGTTAAGTAAATAAAACACCGGAAAGAAACAATTCATAGTTAAAAGAATAAATAAATAAATAAATAAATAAATTATCTTGTATAAAACAAAATATATTTACGTGTGTCAATTGATTTATTAGTCTCTGTGATCAAATAATTATTGTTTAATAGAAATTTGTGGAAGACTGTGGTGTCGTATTCTCATGACTAATATTAATATTTTTATTAAATTATTTTTTTATTTAATTTTTAAAAATATTTTTTTTTATCAAAATATCCCTTAGACATAATTTGTCAAATCTCTGAAATATATTACCTTATAAGTTAATTAAAGCTAGAATAAGTATGATACCCCGGCCTCAAACTTATCATCGTAAGAATAAATATGAAACGCAACTGTAGTGAGAATAGTAATAATACCACAGCCCTAATCTCTTTATACTGTGAATAATTTTTAAAAAAACCAAAAAAAAAAAAACCCATTCCTAACCTCACTATAGTGATAATAGTTATAAAACCCCAACAATAATCTCACTATAGTGAGAATAATTATAACAACACAACCTGGATCCCACTATATTGAGAATAATACCCCAACCCTAATCTCACCAGAGTGAGTATAATTATAATATCTCAACACAAATCTCACTATAGTGAGAATAACTATAATACCCCAACCCTAATCTCACCAGAGTGAGTATAATCATAGTATTCCAACCCAAATCTCACTATGGTGAGAATAATTATAATACCCCAGCCCTAATCTCACTAAGTGAGAATAATTATAATACTTCAACCTTATTGATAATACCCCAGCCCTAATCAACTACAGTGAGAATAATTAAATTTCCCAACCCAAATTTTCATTATGGTTAGAATAATTATAATACCGCAACCCAAAGCTCACTATAGTGAGAATAATTATAATAGCTCAACCCTAATCTCACTGTAATGCGAAATAAATATGAAACCCCAGCCCCAATTTTAATCTTCGATTTAAGGAAATGTCAGGCAAACAAATGCTTGTATGAAAGTTCCTGTAGTTGAGCCAGAAATAAATTTATTTTAAATTCCAGATATATTTATAGGTTTTATTTCAAGCGTTCTGTTTAAAAAGAAAAAAACCCAGAATAATATATATGAAAAGTACGAGGAATGGCGGTTATCACAGCTAAAAATCAAAATTGAAGGTCAAAGATTACGACCTTGGAATGAATTGGATCTTAACAGGTCGATCAGGGGTCATGACTGTGTTTAAGACGGCTTCTACATCTTCGTGGTTGTATTTTAATGAAAATTTCTGGATGATCTGAAAATCAAATGGAGAATAGAGTCAATTTAATTTTTGCCATGTTATATATATATATATACGTAGACGCTGAGGGCGCGACACAGCACTAAAATCTCACGCCCAACCCCACCCCACCCACCACACACACAATATTTAGACCCTCAACTGTTGTATTTCCCGAGACCCATCTGAAATCCGCCCTCCTATTCACTGTGCTATGTCCACATTTACGGCAGTTAGATCGGTGAAGATCGTGCACAATAAGTCAAAGAAATGCAAAAGTAATCTATATTCGGTTTAAAGAAAATGTCAACCCTTTCAACCAAAAAAAGCTAGCGCAAATATGTAATAATGTGTCAGTTACAACTTACCTTCGTTAAAACGATGTACATTTCTTGTTCTGCAAATCTTCTTCCTACAAGGATGTAAAATATTATGGTATTGTATATCTTTTTGATTTACGATGATATTATTCTAGCCTGACTTTATTTCACGACTCCATTGCATAAAATGGCTTACTCCAATGAAGTCCAGTAGATTTGGTTGCTGGTCATTTCATATACCCTAGAAAATTGCTGAGCACCGACTGGACTAATGAAATCGGAAATACGCCATACAGTGTGCTATGAGTGAAATTTTGCCCGGACATTGGCGCTATGGCCTACTCTTTTTTCGAATTCCAACTGTCAATGGTTCGTACACGTGCATGCCAATATGTAGTCCTACACAAGACCTCAGTTTTTATCCCATCTGAATAACTATACATTGTCCCTTGCCAGGCCCTCCTCCCGGCACCACTGGTAAGATAGAACCATACCAGAAAATTTCGATGAACTTTCAAGAGGAACACCGGGATCGGGCACTGAACCTCACAAAGACACCACGGCTCCAAATTACAAGCACATATATTCAAAATTGCAAAGGCGTTGGAACAATCAGCATTCGGGTGACCATATGAAAGCTCAAGTTAAAACTTTGAATAAATTACCTATGCACATTCTGGCACCATGTCCCCACACCAGGTTCGATAATGACTTTAAATTGCTGTCCATATTTCCACGTAACCATCTCTCTGGTTTGAATAATTCTGGTTCTGGGAACAGACTTGGATCACTGTACATACCATAGACATTGGCTTGAACATGGGTCTGGAATAAAATGATTTTAACAGACTATTAGTTAATAGTGTTTATTTAACATGTACTGATATTCTCCCTAATAATAATATAGATCTAGTATCAAATTGCTTTTTAAGGGGTAGACAGATATTTTCTAAAATGGTTTATAAATTACATGAACCAAAATTTGTGAATTACCCTTAAAAGAACCACGTTGGTGTTAATAACACATGGACCATTTATATGGAATATAATCGCTTATTTTTTAAAAATATAGCACGACGTTTCGGCAAGTGGTCTCGTATCGTTTTCAAATTGATTGTATAATAAACCAGTGATCGTATTCTATATACATGGTCGTTGTGGTTTTAAGGTGGCGAATTACTAAATGGCTAACAGTTCCTTACTTATGACGAGTCATGTGTTAGAGACAGCATGACTTAGGACTTAACTTAACTTGGGTTGGTTAATATGTTTTAAATCGATGTTTCAATTAACTGCAGGTTATGTTGTTGACATGATTACTTTTTGTAGATCAATTGATAGCAGCACCACTGCTATCATGGAAATATTGTTTACGTTCACAACAATATAGCGGCTTGTTCGCTCGATTATGAGGAAGTTCGCAAGGAATTTAATAAAGTGACATGCACACAAATAGGATGTCCATAAATATGTTTTTGATGGGCAAGATGTTTTTATGTCAGTTTTTTATATATTTAAGGAAGGATAAAAATAGCATAGTCATCAAAGGCAGATAATTTGAATACGCCCCCACCCCATGGATGATCCCAGGGGTTAGTGGAATGGAACGGAATGGGACCATTGGAGATACCCAGCATACGGTGACTGCCGATTTACTTTACTGGAATTGCAAACGTTTAGCGTAACTTGCACTGACACAGACAGCCCTTGGCAGTAAATATTTACATATTATCATATTCTGTTTTCAATTTTAAAAAAATTGAAGATATTAAGTTTGACATTGATGGAGTCACTGTACAAAATATACTTACACCAGCAGGAATATTATAACCACCAACTTCCAAATCATCAGGTAAAATACGACTTGTAGCAAACGTAATAGGGTATTGTCTGTAGAGTATAAATATATAGCAATTACAGAAATGTCAACCAAAAATGAATGACGGACTAATGTGTTCACAATTTACGCCAATGTGCAAAGTGAACTAAATATTAAAAATTATGTTGATAAATGCATATACCTGAACCTACCACATCATATTAAAAATTATGTTGATAAATGCATATACCTGAACCTACCACATCATGGTCAAAATTAAACGCATACATAATTGGCGGCTATATTGTATCAAATAGATTATATTCAAATAATTTCTAAAATATTGCATCTGAAAACGTTATGCTTTCAAATAGCTGAAAGTCATTTTACCACTCTCAATGCAAGTATATTAATGTGGGTTATGCCCGGACATAAAATATCAATGCAACATTTAGTGTTGGATTTAGTACCTGTTTTGTTATTTTTATATTTTTGTTATTTTTAATGTGTTTTGAAAGAATCGTGTGATATCGGCGTGCCTTCTGGTATCTTATTTATGTAAATGTCAAATGTAACCATGCCATATGGAATAAGTGTTACAATTTGCACCCCCGGTGTTGACCTGCTATTTAAGAGCAAAATATTTAGATATTCACAATTGTTAATTAACAAGACCAGGCAGGCGGCCCAATTAGCGAACAACTAACCTGAAGGTTTCTTTTAAAACGGCTTTGACGTAAGGAAGTTTTGCAAGTTTCTGAGGTGTGATTTCTTCCTGGTTGGGCAAGACTCGTGAAATTTCGTCATGCATTGTTTTCTGGACTTCGGGGTGTTTCGCTAAATTGTATAAGCACCATATTGTTGCTGTAGATGTCTGGAAAAAAACCACATGTAGGCCATAACGAACTTTATGTTTATACCAGTTTAGAGAAAGCTAATGACATAATAATTCCATTACAAAAACAGAACGGTGTATACTAAGCCCGGACTTATTACGGATTGGAAAATGTTCATTTGTTTAGGCTAAATGGGACGAAGCGTGCCAAATCCGGAACAGTCCGCCGAAATAAGATGGTTTCGATCAGGTTAATAAATGTCTAGTGCTGGGATGTCAAACTCACTTCGATTCAGGGGCCACAAAAATATCAAGATAAAGAAAGTTTTATTGCTTTATTTGATTAAACTCGTCAGTACTTTGAAATGGACCAAATTAGCCAACTTAGATATCTATAATGACATACAGTACAGAGTCTTACTGATTTCTACCGCTAGTTTCTAAGAATTATCGACACGTTAGTCTCGTGAAATAATTTGTTCCATGGGCCACATTTAAACCCTTGACGGACCGGATCTGGCCCGCGGGTCGCATGTTTGACACCCTGGGTCTAGTGTAAAGATAAACCAAACCCGATCCGGATGTTTCAATATATATACGTTTAGTATTGACATTAAGCGCGCCCCCGCGCGATGTTCACTGCAGCGAGATAACTTTTGTGTGGGATTCCACTCATAACGTGATCGTTTCTGGCACAGATAATCTAAATTGGTACAACCGATTTATTGCGGTACTGTGAGAATGGTGATTAAGAGGCGATGGCGGCACCAGAAAATCAAATTAATAATTATGGGAAATAAACAGACAACGATGTGACGTTTGCATTAGCTTGTATTGGTAAACGACTAGTAGTTACTGGTTCGTTTCCTTAGACTTAGCATCGCGTCCATACATTTACCCCAATCTGTCCCCAACGTGAATAACTCAGAAAATGTTACGGGTAACTGTGTGGTAATGGAGTCTACCCGGTTTCGAATAACACGGTTTCACAATCAGGCATTCGTAACCAAGGGGAAAAACTCCAATAAGCATCGTTAATCATCCCTCAGAATTTTATAATTAGGTAATTTCGATGATAATTGTACAAAGTTAACAGGAAGTTAAGGAACAACGAATGAAATGAAATGGGGTTTAACGTCCAACTGTTCTGCTCCTATACTGGGCTAATGAAGACGGGCATACGCCATACAGTGTGATATGAGGGAAATTTTGCCCGGGCAGCGGCACTATCGCCTACTCTTATATCGAATTCCAACTGCCAGGGGATCTTTTACGTGCATTCCAATATATACACGGGACCTCGGTTTTTCGTCTCATCCGAAGGACTAGACAGCTGTCCTTGTCAGGCCCTCCGTTCTGCACCATAGACAAGGGGAAACCACGTCGGAAAATCTGGATGAACTTTCTCGGCCAATGCAGGGATCGAACACTCGACCTCCAGGCTAGCGAGCCAGCGTATTAACCACCTAGCCACCGTGGCTCCCGAAGAACGAATGAATATGAATGAGTATACATATTAAGTTGGCGCATTGTTCTATACACACTATCTGATATATTTTGACCCCTGTTTTACGTTTTAAATAAATACCATAAAATAAATATATTATATTATACATACCGTTTCCACAGCCCCAGTTAGTAAATCGACTGCAGTTGATGTAGCATCTTCGCCAGACAGGGACTTTTGTGATAAAAGGTGAGTAAGGAAAGCCCCCTTTTCTTCGGAATGATTGGAATCGCTGCTTTGTATTTTTTCTATTTTCTTAAAAGAAATAAAACACAGTATTAGAGGTCTGTGTTAGGGGCTTTTAGCAGTGGGAGTAATCCGGAGGACCCGGAGAAAACCCACGAAGTTGGGCAGAGTACCCTATTCCTTGTCACGTACAACCGGCGAATATTATGAAATGGTACTTATCTCTAGGGTGCACCATACACAAAGAGAATATTATTCACGCAATGTATCTCTGCAAATCACATTTAAGATATATCGGAACATGTTAAATTCTCAATTTTGAGGCATTTGTACCGTTGGAAGAAGGATACTTGTAAGGCACACTTCAAATAACAAATATGACAGGAAATTCCACGCCGACCTTTCCCCTCTCCGCACCTCATATTTGCTAAATTGGTTATTATAGGTATGTCAATTTCCTTAACAGCTAAATCCAGACACACTTTCGGAAATAGAAAATTAAAACAAATGAGCTAAGTATATTTACTTACCTTATTTACGAATTCACGACCGATCTCCATAATTCTGTCAGAATATTTTTCAAAGGCTTGCCATTTGGTGGTGGGGAATAATTTATACAGTGGAAGGTTATACATTAAATGTTGCATGAGGTGGAAATATTTTTGTAAAGTATCTATAAATTCCTGAGCTAATTCTGTGGGCTTTTCGTTCAAACAACCAATTCTTTCTTCAAATAGGAAGGTACCAATGGCTGTAAATTCATAATCCAAGTTAATTAGATATTTAAATTTTTTTTTGTTTTCATAGATATATTCAACGCGACAAAGGTAACATCGGAGCACTTTTGAGTAAAAAATAGGTTACGTGCCGTTGTTTTGAAATTAGTCTCGTTTAACCAGTCTACCGACCATTCTACGTCTGATTGACAGGCTGGGATAATCAAAACTACTTTTTCGCGAAACATAACAGAAAGCTGGAACAAGAAATTGAATTTAGAAAAAACGCACGTTAGGCAACTCAACAATTGTTTTAAGAACCTTGTAAAAGTAAAATGAAACTACTGCTAGTATTATGTTCTTGCCTAACCCGAGTGTTTCAGATATATTTTTTGTACTAAACCAAAAGTTAATGATAAAGCAATTTAAAAAAATAAAACGAATGCAATTTCTAAAGCTGCTGTAATAACCAAAAGCTAAATATTACTGCTATTCAGAATCGTGAACAATAGATTTTTACGGCTGTAATAGTTGATAGATGTATAGAGAATTTCACATGCGATGGCTATTTATAGACCCATAGACTCTAGCGCCGAGTCGCACTGCGTGATTAGACAGAAATCACTTCAAAACAAGCCACTGAAGCGTGCACTTTTGCCGTATCGAGTTCAGCTTTCTGTCGGGAAAGGATTTTCACTTCACGGGGCACCCTATCTATAGCAATGAGCATTCACAAAGTTTTCTACAAAGCCAAGGGGGGTAACTTAGGTACTTAAAATCGCGCAGCACTTAATAACGATAGGGTTTGTCCTCTTATGAACCCGATCCTTCAAACCAAATTTGAAAAAAAAATCGCTTCAACAAGGTTTTCGGAAAATTGGAGACAACTCAGGAACAACTAGTCGCAGAGCACTGAACATCGAAGGTCCACCCCCTTTTGAGAAATATGACCCATATTCGACACACCAAACTTGTCGGGAGAACGGGGTTGACGACATAATGTGAGCGTACAAAAATAAACTTACATTCCATAGCCCATTTAAATAATTGTTTATCTAATTGTTGCACTTCTCCGTTTGCATCTCGAGAAACATCTAGATGTTTGATAAAGTCATTTGCAACTACATCCATAGGTTGACAGTAATCTTGAACTTCGCTTAATTTCAACATCTTCTGTATTACAACTGTTCGATGTCGATGCCATTCTTCACCCTGTCTGTATGTATAAAACTAGTACTCAAACATAGGAAAATCCAAGAAGTTAAAAACTGTACAGGTAATTTTAGCGCTATAGAGTCAGATTCCAAACGGTTGAATTCCGTTCTGTATTTACAAAGATATGATCGATTGAAAATACAGTACCTTCGATATATGCTCCTTCCCATGTAACAAGACGCCCCAATTTGTATTTGCCGTGAACGAAATTGATGAACCTGTTTTAAATCCAATTGACCTCGATGCCATATTCTTAATTAAATATACTAGCGTGAGAAATTTGATATTTACCGAAAAATGAAAATCACGCATCGTTACTTTAAATACCACATTTTTCTTTCATTTTAAAGATATTCTTAATTTTAATAAATTATAATATTATATAGTACGACGGTTTTACTGAAATAAATCCGGATTTAACGTACTGCGTTATATGGCCAGTTGAGCTAATTTCAAAATATACATTTTTACTAAATAAACGGGAAATGAACATTCAATGTCATAGAATGGAAACAAATGGAAAGTCACTGTTTGGTGTATTATCGACGACGAAGGGAACGCGAAACTTGCGGGTAAGTTATGTTAATCTCTGCCAATCGATTTTTTTATAGATTATATTTTAACTGAGTGGTATATAAATATATACTTACGAATTTACAAGACCTAAGGTGAGGTTTTTCTTCGTTCTATAATAGGCCATTGGTTCCATTTCACGTCTGTTGGGATATTTATTCTCTGCTCGTATCACTTTACTATATTCATCGGGATCGCTAATAACCACAGTATCAATAGGGCCAATACTTTCCTTAAATATTGGTCCAAATTCTAAAGAACGAGACTGGTAAGCCTGAAATTATTAAGTCAAAGGACCTTTAAAGTGACGTTTTCGAAAATCAGCACTGAAAGTTCTGAACATTTTTCCTATAGTCTGGTTTGAATCGCAAATAACATTGTTCATCATTTTTCGAAAACTTTCAATATTCAGGCTCTTTGGATATTAAAGTTTTATGGGGACGTTAGACGAGAAAAAATTGATTCATATAAAAAAATGCATCGTGCAACTTGTTTTACATTTAGGAAACTTCGGAACATCTGTGCAATACATGATTCAACGAGTAACTAAACATTTTCATCGCCATGTTCACACTACCCCATGATATAAATGTTAATACCGTTCGTCAAATTCAATGAACTTTCAATAACAAATGCTAACACCTGAACACTTTCTAAAACAAATTACTAATGCCTTCTGTAAACGATTTAAAATGTCCAATGGCATATAATAATTATTCGGGTTGCTTTGGAGTCAGAGCTTTAAGAAACATATACATCAAAATCAATGTTTCAATCATCAAAGCATTTAATAAATAATAAACAATACTAAACGTCAATAAGGTGAGTGACTTAAATTAGATTTTTTTCAAAATCTATAAAAATCAAATGACTCGACACACCTACCTCAAACATTTTATTAAAACGAAGACCATCTTTTTTGAAGTAGTCTAATAAAGTTCCTAATATGGGAAGTCCCTTGGGGCCGGGTACATGTTCAAATGATCTGATGGCTGACTGTTTAACAGGTGCTTGGATTTCTGGCTCAACGGGATTTTTCATAAAGCTACCTACAGTTTCTAATGTGTTACGGAAAGGACACTGGAATAAAAAAAAAACGGAAATGATTCAAATTTTCATTATAATTTCAAAACTACTAAATAAGTGTAAATAAATAAATATGTAAATTGTTTTCTTACCGTTCCCATGGCAACGGGATCCATCTCGAGGACTTGTGCACTTTGTTTGTGCGACGCGGACGTGGATACAACTCTCTTAGCGGCTATTTCTGGTATCGCTTTTGCAGCCAAACGAGCTGCAGTTTTTGGTATTATTCCAGACATTTTGTTTCTTGTACGTTACAATCTGAAACGTTTAAATGGAACAGTCAAAAGGTGAGATACAGTAATAGGGGTGATAATATATGAAATCTGCATTGCTGTCCCTTCCAGATGATTTAAGTATTGTAATTTTGTTGTTGCTCTAAAAATTCGAATCAGATCATCTTTATTCATAGAAAATGGAGTTATATTTTCTTCCACTGTATTATTATTATTATTACAGCATATTTATAGTGTGCCCTTTCATATAAAATGTTCAGGGGCGCTTTAGCAAGTGACAATACAATCATAAATAAACAACAAGATTATGGACATGTTAACGATTGTATACAGAGTCAGTTAAAAGCCTGATTAAATAAATGTGTTTTAAGTTTTTTTTTTTAAAAGAATATAGAGATGTACAACATCTTAAACTAAATGGTAGATTATTCCATAAAACAGGTGCTTGATAACTAAAAGAGCGCTGACCATAAGAGACTAGTTGAACAGTTTTGTACTTTAAAAGTAGTTTATCTGATGTACGTAATGTTCGGCCAGGTGTATAAAGTTCTAAAATATCCCGTTAATATGTTAAATACCGGTATTCAATTTGAGTATATTTCGCCCCCTGTATTGACGAAAGAGTTCCTACGATTTTCCGGTGCGGTTTCCCCTTGTCAGTTGTGCAGGACCAAGGTCCTAGCAAGGACAGTGTCTCGTCGTCCAGTGTTAACATTGACGTGCATGTAAAACAGCCCATGACTATTGGAATTCGAAATAAAAGTAGGCCGTGGTGCCGCTGTCCTGGAAACACTTCCTCCACAGAACACTGTATGGCACAAGCCCCTCATGTATTGACCCAGTTGGTGCAAAAAAATAGGAAAAAAATTCAATGCCATTTCGCACAACAAATTGGATATTTGAAAGTAAACTTTTGCATGAAACTTACATTGTGGTAAACTTACATTAAACAATCTAGTGTTTTCAAACTGATTTGTTTTGAAACCACATATCATCCACATTTAATGTTTATTGTTTTCACTTAATTAAAAGTAATATTTGCAGCTAAGCATGCATCTTTTTTACTTAAAAATTAAAAAAAATGTTTATCCTTAGCTTACGATTATTCAATTAAATATAAATTAAAAAATCTGGTACTTACTTATTCGTTCTTAAAGATCAAATTAGTTTTCTTGTTTCTTTATTTTGTTTCGTTATTGACGTTGGTCAATTGGATTTTAAAATACCCTTGGCAGTGGTCTAAATGTAAAGAAAATTAAATATCAAAATTTTCTGCCAGGGAACATCAATGTATCCACGTTAGTCCTGAGCCCGAGTGAGCGAGTTGGTTATTGACAAAACGGTATTTATAGGATAAAAACACGCGTGTTAATCATGCCATGGGGGAACTCCTGCCATTACCGGGAGGTGTGAGGAATTCTGGGAACCACCTGGTATCCAATATGGCGGCGGATAAATCGATGCTAGAAACACCTACGTGCTGTCACCACGCGTGTCGGGTCGGACAAGATTAAGAATTGTTATGAATGAATTTGGTCACGACCAGCATGACATGTCAGATGACACCTGCGTCCAGTTTTCTAGTTCGTCTGTGATTGAGATTTAGCGATAGCCTGTTTAAAATTAAGTTTGTTTTGTTACTAATCTATTTTTTTTCCAATTTTAAAATCAACATTTGCAAATCACCTACAGCCTACACCACGCTGTTTAATTTTATATGTGTGTTTATTTTGAGAAGGATTGTTTAATTCTTTAAAGGTGTGCGGAGGGGTAGAGTGGGGTGTGTATGTGAGAGTGTAGGTGTGTGCGGAGGGGCAGTTTGATCTGTGTATGGGTGAGTGTGGGGGGATGCTTAAAAGTTCCCCCCCCCAGACTACTCTTTGTGAATTGTTCGGCAAAACGTATCGAAACGGTATATTTGTATCTAACAGACATGCAGCTGTATATTACGACACCCAGAATCTGGATAACCGATAAAAAGATATAACGTTATGTTTTAAAAGTTATCGCTACATAATCAACCATGCAATATAGCCACATCCTAAGAGACCAACAATCCAATGGTCCAGAATTCAACTGGAAATGCTGATAGTAAAATGCATAAGAAAGATGCATATGGTTCAATTTTATCTCAATATTTCGCTTGCCAGTACGAATATTTAGCTGTGGGGGATATCGGGGGAACACACAAGGTTGGGCAGACGAAACTACTCACGGGGAATAGAAACCGCGCCACTATAGACTCTAAGTCAGACTGACGCTCAGGTGGTAACCCTATATTAACTATGTAGCTGCCAATCAAGAATGAAAAGCAAATAAAATACAGTAGTTCAGATCAATGTATTGTCGATATAGACTATTTGGACAGTAAGATGTACAATACTATTACAGCTTTCGATGCCATCTGCTTTCAATAGATATATAAATATAGATAGTGAATAAAGGGAATATAGGTAGGGATAGACAAAGATGGCGAAAATGTTATCCGATCACATATGTCATTTCGGGACTAACACGGGTCTTTAGCAATGAAAGAAAACTAGAGACACTGGAGCCTAACCTTGATGTTAGGCTACTCTATTCACAGATGTGGGTTCAAAGCTCCGCCACTCAACTCGGTGACAGTTCTAAAGCGTACGTGTGAGGTCATTTGGTTACCCAACCCCGCTAAATATTATAGTTGGTTTTATACCTAAAGTATATATATGCAAATTTCCTAAGCAATGGATTGATTAACATCTGTATTTTAACAGAAACTTTAATAAAGCCGAAGTGCGTCTTTAAAAGGATATAGGGTGATAGTTGACATATTAATCTATATCTACAGGCGGCTAAGCTTGTTGTTTCTTTCTTCATTTTTCCACATAGAACAATATATTATTATACAACATAATGTCAAGGTTCTGTTGACATGGTACATTTTCTGTTCTCTTTCACTAATTACTTATCTACCTAGATACCCATCTGCCTTGCCATCACTAATTGTTTTAATTGGCAGCTGTGTTATCCTTAACGCAAAATCCCTGATAACAGACAAAGGGTTCTGTAATATCACGGTCATTATTATCATGACGTCATAGTGATAACCGAAGTGACCAAATGTAGTTAGACAAGATAAAACTCTGATCTTATAATTGTCGGTTTACATGAACCAGTAGAAAATAGTTGGTTGGTTTTATGATATCTTATTCTATAATATATAACTAATTCAGTTATTAATGTATTTACGAAATGTTAAATTTGTCTTCATGTAGCCTGGGCCAACTATAATATAACTATAACATACAGATGAATTATTTGTATACGAGTAACTAATAAACCACTTATAATACAATCGTCTGCAATAATAGGAAAATAATTTTCCTCATATTCCTTTATTATTCAAGGAAAGTTTCATTTCTTCTATTGCAGATATTTATATATGTCACCGAAGATGCGCCATTTAAACTTGACATGTAATGCAGAAACTAAAGAAATAATTATTTCGGAAATAGTGATATGATGTTCTTTTAAAGACAATCTATCTTATTAACACTTCATGAATGATCAATTTAAACCAGCCGTTTGACTCCGTAATATGAATTATATCACATAATATTATTTCAATGACGCCATTACTAAGCTGAGTCCGCGACAGGGCCCAGACGGCCCTGGATAAGCTACTTGTCGAGCGGATTGTGGGATCTCTCCGCCCGTCCTCGAAAATTTTTGAAAGAAACATATAGCGTCATTTTGGCTTATATCTAGGGCAAATGGAAGTCACTTTGCTAAAACAAAGAAACTGAGATTTAACACAACATACCGAATACATGTAATACATGTTATATTTTTATCAATTAGATTCTTTTTCTGTGGTTATGCATTAAGCATGAATATTTAATATATTCAGGACTTTGAATTAGAGTTATCCCAGCCGCCTTAAAGATTAATATCCTGCCAGATTCATCTCGCTAAATAATTGTAATCCATATACTTTATTCCCGAGGACATAACTTCTAGATAATTCTTGACGTATCTGAGGCTATTTGTCAACAGCATAATTATTGTTATTAGTAGAAATAATGTCACCTTCATACACGAGCCCCCAACAAGGTCAGCTAAGTCTGTTTAGCCCAAGAAGACATAGTGCTCAGTGTAACATTGATACACAGCGACCTGTATTAGATAGATGTTTGTATCTTACGATATCGAACCAGACTATGTCGAGAAGTTATAACCCAAACATCGTACCTAGCTTATACGACTTTTTGACATAATATGATACGCATTATTTAATGTCCTGTATTATGTGTTATGCGACTTCAGTCATGGGCATTGATAGAGGACCGAACATGCCCTCACTCCCACTCCACCGTACGCTCAATTTCTATGACCAATATTACAGGAAAACATAGTAAATGCTATCAGACGTTTTGTTAAAGAAAACGATTAAATAAATTATTTAGACAGTAACTAATTAGTATGGATTGCTTGGGAATTTTAATTTAATCTTCAGACTGTGCCCTTACAGCATCATGTTCAATGGTTAGTCAGAAATACTACACGAGAAACCAATCTGACTAATAAAACAGAGTAAAACAAATTGTCATGGTATTTGGTGAGTAACTCTGTTACCCAAACAATACCTTCTTGACAATAAATCCCATCCTATATAATCCTTCATTGTTGGTTGAGATTTCAAGAATAGCCCTTTCATGTTAAAGCCGTTTAGCTTATGCTACATTGTTTTTCTTAGTGACCTGTAGGGAGAGAGAGAGAGAGAGAGAGAGAGAGAGGGGGGGGGAATTTAACGTCCACTCGACACAAACCATATGGTTCAATTTTATTTCAATAATTGGCTTGCGCGTAGGGGTCTTTAGCAGTGGAAGGAAACCGGAGGACCCAGAGAAAACCCTTGAGGTTGGACAGGCGCCCCTACTCCTTGTCACGCACAACCGGGGAATCGAAACCGAACCAGTTGACTCAATGACAGACCTTATGATACAACGCACACGCGCTAACCATTCGGTCATCCAACCCCCGACCTGTAAGGAACTGTCGTAATAAATCATAAGCATCAAACAAATTATGTTTGTATCAAATTATAAATTTGTTGAAGAGCATTCTAACAATGCTTGAACTGCCGAAACCATGCAGCTCTCTGTATAATTACGAAATGCAAAGTTTAATCTTCGAATGGCCAAATGACCCCTTGAACCCCTGTATTGAACTTCGGACCTAGTGACTTTATTATGAACTTTTTATCTCGTTATTATCCTTATATTCCTGCTGTTAATCGCTCTGATAATTTTTCAGATGAACAAAATTCTTCTAATAGACTTATGTATACACATCCTACGTTTTAGGGGTTAACAAATGAAACGTTTCTTCAAGAATATGGTTACTTGTTATATAAGAACCGAACTCTAAAAAGGGTCGTCTTTATTCAAAGAAAAAGAAAATAATTCAATATCAAGCTAGCTTTATGTGTATTGTTTTCAGGAAGTACCTGTGACGTACACGACCCTTTATTGCGACTGTGTCTTAAATTTGAAGTCCACAACATGTAATTCTTCGCTAAAACCAAGTTATATGACATTTTGTTCTATTTTAAACATAAAACTTTTTTCAACAACTTTACTCAATTTAAGCCCCCCCCCCCATACAGACACTCCTATTAAAACCAATAGCTTTGTTTAAAAGGGGGATTTACATGGTTTGATATTTAAACATCATAGCAACTTCTATATAAGATTTAATTCAACCCCAACCTTCATCTGTATTTCTATTTCTGGTATTAAACTTTAGCACACCAACTGAGATCGGATTTATGGGATTTACAAGATACAAAATGGGAAAACACCCAGAGCGATGGTTTACGTGGACTTGACTTATCTTGATGACCTAAACGAACTTCGTTTGTTATAGATGTCATAAGCACTACGCTCGCACCATTGTTGGTATGTTGTTTTTAAACTGTCTAAAATCTACATCTGGGATACTGCTACAAAGCCACTCGTATGACCTCTGACGCGACCTTCCACTATGGATCTGTATTTTAATCAGATTATGATTATCGAAAGTCTTTAAAAACTAACAAGAGCGGGTCTAGTAATATGACGGCCACGCATTATACATACATGTATTAGAAGGATACATGTATGTTAATAATTGCAGTCTAACACACTATTGTAATGGAGGGGCAAATATCTGGAGGTGATTATCAAACATTGTTGAAAATCAATAGGATTCTGCATTTCAATGAGATAGACAGCCCATGAACATTTGAAAAGATCTATCGGTTATTGTAATCTCTACAAGAAATGTGAAGGAAATCCCGACAAAAGGACTGACGGGCAGAGAGAGAGAGAGAGGGGTGACGGCAATATACAACCGCATTTAAAATGTAGGTGTATAAAATATTGTAATAGTGTGACGCTATGTGGACAGATGTGACTATCCTGGTCACAGACTCCAAAATAAGAGGTAGGCTGTGACACTATCGTCTAGGACTTTCTTTGACTTCACGTTGTAGGATAAATTATTTCAATCATCAATTAACTGACTCTGGAACATCGTTTATGTTTTTACTAAGTTTATATAACAAATACAGCAAACTACAAGGGTAAAATATAGGAAAACTACAACAGCTATTATAGATAATTTGGGAGTATTAAAATATCCACGGTCTGAGTTTAACATCCTTTATAACCCTGACCTAACGGCTTAAACATCACATTTTATCTCTATCTCAGCCTCTCAGCCAAGGCGGCTGTCGGTATGACGTTCCCCTAGGAACTCGAGGATTATGTCTTCTCTACGGTCTCATCATGATGTCTGGGGTGAAATTGAACTCGCTCTTTCAGCTATTAGAGTGGGACAATTACAATTTTTGGGTAAGTGTTTCGTATAGGCACCGTTTTAAGTCAGCACTATTCTAGTTAATTGTACTAATCTGTGCACGAGATGACTGGACGATAGTACCCTACTTCCAGCAATGGATACTGACATAGCTGTCGGTATAAGTAAGTCTAAGATAGTAGTAGAATAATGCAAAATACTTCATTACCCTAGTTTTCGTCACACACCATGTAGTTAAAGAACTACTATATTAAACAGAACACTTTTCTTAGAACTAAAATAACCCCTATAGTATTACAATAGGTTTTTTAAAAAATACGTTGTAGGTGACCATATATTTTCAGTGGTTTCTGTGTGTTCTTCCAGAAATCAAAACAATATAAAGTTCAGACTTATTTAATATGTTGATTTGTGTAATAATATGTAGTAAAAATAAAATTGTATCCTTAAAATAGCACTTAATATAAAAAAGTAAACGAATTTGACTTAGCTATAAAACAGCTTTTAAAAACTAAATATTGTTAATTTTGTTTTAAATAATTATAATTATAAATACCAACACTACAAATATGAATATGAATTTAAATTTGCTTTGAAACGTTATTACTATCGTTTGCAAATAAAACATAAGTTGGGCTACTTAAAATCATCTGACTAAACATTTCTTTAGAAAAGATCGCACTATTATTCCAATAAAAGGTTTGATAATAAAGAGTAAAAACCAACCGATATCAGTAAGCTTCATCCTCAAGACAATTATAATGAATTTTGGATTGTCGATAAGCTTTAAATAAACAGGCATAACTCAGTAGTGAATGTCATAAACCGTTGAAATTCAACTGAAACCTTACTGTTATATTATTAATTAGAGAAGCTATAGGCCTACGATAAATAACAATTGTTTGGATGACCATTGTAGCCTATAAGGATATCGTAACAAAGGAGCATTGTAATATATCTACCGAAATATGTAGCTAACCAATCTATGAAAACGATTGTTTAAAACGTTTTCCAACAAATCCACAAAACTCAAAAAATGAACAAAGGCAATTATAATTAGAAACAAGTAGCCTTCTACATATGTATATACATGTAGCTAGACAATTTCAATCGTATCGCATGCAAGCTGTGTTCAAAAACAAAAAGTAACTACAATACAGTGATTTAATTACATAAACAGCAAAATGTAGTATTAAAAATAAAGGGGGGTAATTCTGCACATTAGACTATCAGGAGGCAGACCACCATTAATTTCCCCATTGACTTCAATGTTAATTCTGGCCTCTTTGCCCACCTCCAACTTTTCCCCAAATTTTCATTGGGCTGAATTTTTTTCACTACAGACAGAGGAACAAATGGTCATGTCTTTGCACTAAAATTTGTATGAGATTGACCACCAAAATTTTGTGATACACAAACTTGAAGAAGCATACTAAAAACATGTAACTAGTTGCCGTACATATCGCCGTAGCTAACCTGATAACCCTCTTATCCTTCCGCCTCAAAATCATGAATATTTACCAAAACCTGGCAGAAAATGTTAATTCAAACCCTCTTCGTCCATTCTAGACCAAAAAATCAACACAAATGGGCATGCAAAAGGGGAGAAAAGAGAGAGAGAGAGAGAATTGCTATAAATAGACGAACTACAATTCGTGATGATGAAATTTAATGGTGGTCTGCCTCCATCAGACTTTACGTAGATTAACATATGGATTTGCCTCTTGCTTTCGAGCAGACTCCGAATTAACATATGTCTCATCTCGTGGTTGGTTTGAAGTTGACGCTATATTCAGGTTTGCATATGGCTGATCGTCTTTATGTGATCCACGTTTTACTGAATCGTAAGGACGATTTTCTGATTGGTTTGATTTTGTTTTCGCTTGGGGACGACTTTTCATTTGGTATGAACCTGCTTCTGTTGACAATTGCGTGGCTGGATATTTTCTGAAATCAACAAAATTATCACCACGCTGTAAAAGATTGACAATATCATATTTACGTTAGTATTTGAACAGTTAACTACAACCATTCATATATACTAATTCTTGTCTGTTGGTTTGTTCATGTATGGTAAAACATCGACCTTACACTCCAATTACTGCCCATTCGTGAACATGTAAAAAGATAAATGCTGATTTCCAAGGGATTGTGTCCAGTGCATTATAGGGTAGAGAGGTGTGTTTTATACCTTTTGATATAGAAGAAAACTCCTACAATACAGACAACACTGGTTACAGCTATCCCAAACACAACACCAATAACACCACCAACAGCAGGGCTTACACCTTTATCTTTCGACTCTGAAATAAACATGCAAAAAAACGCTGGTTACAACTATTACAAACCAAGCACCTACCCCATTGTCAACAACAGGGCTTACCCACCATAACGGGAGATCGGAGAACAGGGCATTCCATTTTACAAACAACTCGTAGAAGGAAAATCCAGGCCATACTTAACACCGAAACAGACAAAAAAAGGAAAAAAACACCGAAAAAGGACGACAAACTACCGACAAACACCGAGACACTATACCGAAAAACACCGACGCGTACCCTACATAATAGAATAAAATAAAATAAAAATATAATAAAATAAAATAAGTACGCGGCCAAATACCCGTTGACAACCCTCCGAAGGCGCCCCCCCCCCCACTCATCCACACACACACAAATATTCCCGGGAAAAATATATTGTGTCTCGGGGTGTTTTTCGGTAGTTTTTCAGTGTTTTACAGTATTACGAAAAGCCGATTACGTTTGTCATTAAAGGGGTTTGGTTTTAGTAAATATTCAGATAAAGACGCGAGAACCCTCGTCGAATGTCGTAAGAAAAAACTTATATTCCATTAAATTGCATCTTGTCATATTCTAATATTAGATTGTTATAAAACGATGGTAACGAATATAAAGAATGCTTCCTTGTGTTAGATGTTGATCTTACTAAGTTGTTGACATGTTGTTCCTGTAAAATCTGGCAAACATCCAACTGTTCCGCATTCTCCAGTAACAACATCACATGGTGTATTGTTAGCACAGTTACCGCATTTATTCTTACACCCCATACCATACAGACCTGCAGGACAATCTAAAATAATAATCAGAATAAAACTATAATTTATACCATAAAGAATAACACAATATGTAATAGTATAATAACCATGGACCAACAATCTAGAACAATGAAATTAATGAAATGAAAAGGGATTTATAGCGCCCTACTTTCTGCACCGACTGACCAAATGAAGACGGGCATAAGCCATACAGTGTTTAGTCTCTTATGGTCAGCGCTCTTTTGGTTATCAAGTACCTGTTTTATGGAATAATCTACCATTTAGTTTAAGATGTTGTACATCTCTATATTCTTTTAAAAAAACAACTTAAAACACATTTATTTAATCAGGCTTTTATCTGACTTTGTATACAATCGTTAACATGTCCATAATCTTTTTGTTTATTTATGATTACATTGTCACTTGGTAAAGTGTCCCTGAACATGTTATATGAAAGGGCGCACTATAAATATGCTGTAATAATAATAATAATAATAATACAGTGGAAGAAAATATAACTCCATTTTCTATGAATAAAGATGGTCTGATTCGAATTTTTAGAACAACAACAAAATTACAATACTTGTGCCATACCGTGTTCTGTGGAGGAACACGCCAATGATAACACTGGACGACTAGACACTGTCCTTGCCAGGACATTACGTACATCAGATGTTAGCGATTTAACTCCTTTAACCGCGGACTTTGACAATCGAGACAATTTCCCCTTCCGTTGTGTAGACATAGTTTTCCAGTGAAAAGAAATGATACAATTTCCCATTCGACAAACCTCGACAGACTCGCCGATATTCTACATCTAGCGCAGAAAAATACCGTAGTGGTCCGTGTGACAATTTCCAAATACCGTCCGCGAATAGAAATTATTTCAAATTTTATGTGAATGTTTTTTTAAGTGCTAGAATGATTCCTATGATTGTGTACGTAGTAGATATAGAAATAATTATGTTTTGACTTTCTTAGAAAATATGCAATTATCGCTTTACTTTGGGAAATACAATGACAATGTAGAAATGGTTCCACTACTGATGTACGTCTTCCGCCTTACCGATACATACATAATTGTAGCCAAATGACAATGGTGCACTTTTAATTCTATCTATGTCATGAAATAGAAATATTCTATTTCTGAAATAACGATTTTATTCCAGAAATAGGGAAAACATGGGTCAATTTCGATTGCCCATTGGCGCAAGACAAACCTCCGAGACATTTTTAATTTTTTTCAACATCACAAGATTTCGTTCTACTGAACACCAGAATATTAGAAGATGTTCACCATTCATACAAATACATATATATAGGCCTAGACTCAATCAGTCAATGACTGAATCAATGATACTAGGCCCAAATGATCAGATGATAACTTAAATTAAATGACAAGTTATTGATAGAGTCTACTACGTTGCATATTATGTCGAAAAAGTCGATCCCAATTTTTGTACATGACACCAAGCACAACAGTTAATATGACCAGAACAACAAAAGTGGAAAATGGTCAGCAAAAAAATAACATGAATATTTCTAACTCGACTAACATGGTGCCTTACCGTGATTGTTGTTGTTTGTTAGTTGTATTTTACGTCCACTTCCACCGAGGTGATTTAAGCTATTATTAATATGGCGGAGATACGCTTACAGTATGCGCATGCGTGATAAATGACGTAACTGAGCTGTGTGAATATGAACTGACATGGGAGGTGATCAGGCTGGAAAACATACCCTTTCACCCAAGGGGTTGGTATTTTACGGTTAACCGAGCACTACCGAGATATTCTAAAAATAAACTCGGCAGGGGTGGAAAGTAGATTACACAGGTTTCTAAATTCGAGGACCGATTTTGGTCCTCGAAAACCCGATGGTCCAGCAATTGTTGGTGTGCAAGCATACAAGTGTCCCCCAATTCAATGATCTGCCCACTCACCATACACACACACATAAAACCATAATAGCACGATAGAGCCTACAGTTTTTAACTGATTTTGTTTTTCAAATGTGGTGTGAAGCACTAGGACCTTTCGATTTTCAGTACTCCGTAAACTTCTTTTCGAAGGTTACCATCTTTGTCCGTATTTTTTTTCAAATATTATGTGACGATGAGAGGACGAACCCTTATGATATTCAGCATTCTGTGACCTTCTGTTCCTTAATATACCCCCCCCCCCCCTCCGCCAGCTCTCTGAAAGCCTTGTTCACGTCATAGAGGCTTCACTTTTACAATTTTGTGTGAAGCATTGTGATGAACTTTATTGATATTCAATAGTTAGCGATCTTCTATTCCGGCGTTATACTCTCCATTCTTTGAAATTCGGTGTTCCGCGACAAGGATGACCCCTGTTAATTTTCAGCAATATAAGATTTCTGTCCTAGCGATATAACAAGCACGTGAACACGATAGAGATTAGATTTATTGATGAATACTAGATCCTTATTCAATTTATTAAACAACCAAGTTTTCCTTTCGAATAATCTGCTGTTGAGGCATAGATGCTGCGTGGGCGAGGAATAGATGCTGCGTGGGCGTATCTCCACACTCTGTGTCGCTATCGTTCAAATTTCTTTTGAATCATTAGTGTCACAAGCAGAGGAACCCTATTTATTTTCGGCGGAACAATGAACCTTATTGATTTGCAGCGCCCCCTTGTGAACGCGTTAGAGCCCAGAGTTTCCAAGACTTTTTATTTAAAATCTGCTCCAAAGCATTTGTGCCACAAGACAATAAACTCTGTGTCTAGCTTTAATCTAAAACAAAATATGGTCTGAAAACCATGCAAAAAATGACATATTCTACTAAACGTCGCTTAAACATTAAATTGAAATAATTTAATACGCATGTCTGTAATTCAAAGCTTCACACATTAAAGCTAACTTTTGAATTTCATATTTGGTGTGAAGTATTGGGGCCATAAGACGATGAGCCCTATCGATTTTAATCATATTTCAAATTTAGTGTGAATTATGGGTACACTATCAGCCACCCCTACGGAAGCGTATAGGGGTCATGCAAAATTGTGTAGACGGTCTCAAGATCCTGCGATCCTGTGATACTTTCTCGAAATCCCGTGATCATCTGGTAATTTTCTCGAGATCTCAATTTAATGTTCTCGAAATCCCCTGATAATTTTCCTGAGATATTGACATCCTGTGTAAATTTTCTCGAGAATTCGAGTTAATGTTCTCGAGATATTGACATCCTATGTAAATTTTCTCGAGATCCCGAGTTAATATGAAACCTTATATGGTAGTGTCTCCACGTTGTGAAATAACCATTGTTCCAATACTTCGCACCAAATTTGATAACAAAAAAATACTCTAACATTTGTTACAAAGGAATACTGCTAACTAATGAAAGAATAAACGGACAATCGATAGGGTACCCATGATTTACACTAAATTTGAAATATGATTAAAATTGATAGGGTTCATCGTTTTATGGCCCCAATACTTCACACCAAATATGAAATTCAAAACCCTACCAAGTTAGCTTTAATGTGGGGAGCTTTGAATTACAGACATGCTTGTTAAATTATTTCAATTTAATGTGTGGGCGACGTTTAATTGAAAATGTCATTTTTGTATGGTTTTCGGACCATATTTTGTTTTAGAATAAAGCTAGGCAGAGAGTTTATTGTCTTGTAGTACAAATGCTTCGGAGCAGATTTTAAATAAAAAATCTTGAAAAACTCTGGGCTCTAACGCGTTCACAAGCTTTACCGGAAAATAGGAATAACCCTATAACAAAACCTCAGGGAGCGCTGCAAATCAATAAGGTTCATTGTTCCGCCGAAAATAAATAGGGTTCCTCTGCTTGTGACACTAATGATTCAAATCTTGAAAAATTCTGGGCTCTAACGCGTTCACAAGGTTTACCGGA